AGGAACAATCAAGCTTCTCTACGTTTTTTTCTGCACTGATGTCGGCTGCAGTGGAAGTCTGATTGGGTTTATAGCACGCTATTCTTCCTCATGTACAGGTAAAACAAAAATCCTCTATTGTTCTGTGAATACATAAAGATTCCTCACATCATACTTATCAGAGTGTGTTGTCTTTATAAAGTCAACATTATGTGTGATTGAACTGCATTGCTCTGGATTAGTTGTGCTGGTCTTTTGGTGATTTGTGTCAGTGGAGCGTACACAGACTCAGTAATACACAGCTGAGTGAGTCGGCAGGACGCAGTTTTGTCAGTTCATACAACAATAAGAGGGGAGCACATGTCTTCACACACAAACCTATATCTGCCCTCTCAAGCTTTAAGGACCCAGCATTGAGAAAGAAAAGACTATTGTTTTATTAGTCTATTTAATCATTTGTTGTTGTTTAACGTTTGGTTTAAAAGTCCTTTCCAGGATCCTTGGTGAAGATTTAAGAGGTCTGGATGTTTGTGGGTATTGATTTTTCGTTCAAGTGGTGAAGCCTACGGTAATTACAAACCTAAAAATTATTCTGACAGGGAAAGTATGTCTGTGCTTTATTCCTGTTGAGTATCCTTTTAAAATGTAATTCAATAAAATGAAGAACTGCTGATATACTTCTGGTTGACATTAGCAGTGTAAGAGAGAGGAGCAGTAAACCACTCCATTTAATGTAGAGAGAGTAATAACTCCTACATCAGGTTTATCATTTTCTCATTACTTTGTAGCCGAATCAGTTTTTGGTTTTGGAATCAGTCACTCCATCTTGGTCTGAGTCTGTATGTTAAGGACTATATCCCTGATTCTGAATTGAACAAGCTCCATAGGTCCACAAGACATAAATAGCAAAGGATTCTGTACAGCTACTTAACACATCCCAGTCAGTGAGGTTACTGATGTAATGTGAAATGCTACTTTGACTGTTTTTGTACAGCGATACTTCCTCCTGTGTCACTGGGTCTCTGGCACAATAATAAACAGCAGAATCTTCAGTCTTCAGACTGTTCATCTGCAGATACACCTGCTGTCTGCTGTTGTCTCTGGAGATGGTGAACCGGCCTGTAACTGACTGAGAGTAGATTTTTGTCATTATTATTCAACCAGGCGATCCACTCCAGTCCTTTTCCTGCAGCCTGTCTGACCCAGTTCATATGGTGCTGCTGAATGTGAATCCAGAGGCTGAACAGGTCAGTCTGTGGGATTCTCCAGGACTTTTAACCACTGCTCAGACTGCTTCTGTCAGAGTCTGACCATCAACACCTGAAGAGACAGAAAAGAAAACCATCAGATTGACACTTTCGGAACACTTTTTAGAGTAAAGATGAGTGATGATCATCACCTGCCCAGCAGACAGTAAAAAGCAACAGTCCTGTCCTATAGTCCATCATGTTCAACTGTGTGTCCACTGTTCTCTGTCGTCCTCTGTGCTCTCACATAAGTAGAGGAGGAACACATCAGAGATTTACATTGACTCCTCCTCAGATAGATAAGAAAATAATTTAATTTGGATATCATCTCTTTACTTATGGATTAAATTTTCAACACACTGACCTTTTTATTTGCTAATCTTTTTATTTTTTTCGGTTATCAACTCAGGCAGCCAATCAGAAGAACACAAAGCAGAATAACACACAGCTCCACTTTTTGACAGTTATTGAACATACAGTAACATCTGTGATCACATGTACCAAAAATATTCACATCTAACAGGAAGTTAATCCCCATCATGTTCTTTGATGGTGTCTTCTGTTCTCAACATTCATGGAGGATTTTGTCACATGGGCTCAGGGTATCAGGAACAACAGTGGTTTAAAATCTCATTTTCTAAAATTTGATTGAATAAGATCACCATAGAGGAAGCTAAAGACCTCTGGTTCAGTTACTAATGTGAATGTGATCCTGATAATTCTGAGTTATTTTGTTGAATACAAAGGTATTTTCATAATGTCTTACAGCTGTTTTTCTCCTTACTGTAAAAGTGAACTGGTGTTTAATATGTATAAAATAATATAATACATTTGATTTATTTGATTTACAGAGTCGCATTTAAAGAAAAACACTTTTAAACAATGGTACAAAAAGAAACATTAGCAATCTAAAGCAGTGTTTATAATGTTTTATCAGTGATTTGAATTGTGGCAGGTCCGTAAAGTCTCAGGTGTGTTTGGGGAGAGAGATCCAGAGGGAGAGGGCAGCAATGGAAAAGGCTCTGTTCCCCTGGTTCAGTGCTTGGTGTTAATCATTATTGGTGTGAGGGCTCCTCCTCTGGTGGCTTCATGTTACTGGTGTTCAGGCTCTGAGGGGTTTTTGTTCAGCTCTACTGATGGGTTGTGTCACTGTGGGTCTCTGGCACAGTAATACACTGCAGTGTCTGCAGTCTGCATATTCAGTCCGTTTAGAGTCGCTCTGTTTCTGGAAGAGTCTAAGTCGATACTGAACTGGTTCTTCAGTGAATCTTTGTAGTATGCGGCTCCAGTGTATCTCATTCCAATCCACTCCAGTCCTTTCCCTGCAGGCTGTCTGATCCAGGCTGTGTAGTAGCTGCCAACAGAATAAGAGACCTGACAGGTGATGGTCAGACTCTGACCTGGCTGCACAGTCACAGAGGCTGGCTGTGTCAACTGTTCACACTTCACACCTGTTAAAAAGAGAACATGTTTAGTAAGAAATGATCAAGTTAAACTGCAGAAGAAGAACTGTTGACTTTGACAGATGCAGACAGACTCACATCCAGCTGCCAGCAGCAGCAGCAGAGCTACAGAAAACATGGTTGATGTTGAAAGTGACGTGCTGTGAACTCCACTGACGGCCTGATGGGAAGTTTTTATAGCTGAGTAACAAGGAAGCTCACTGAGTTTGCATACAATCAAACATATGAAGCATCAATGATGGTCTGACTGGAGCCAATAGGAGAGTCTGTTCACTGTTTTTATATCTGCAGAGTGAAAAGATGACTGGAAATCATCTCTGCTTTACATATGATAACAGATATAATATATGTGATCATACTGTAGGATCAGATTGGTTGAAAGTGTTTACTAATAACTGGTTTCATTCATTTTAGGATTAATCTTATCAAAGAGAGCAGCAACAATCAATAAATAGGTGATAAGGAAATGCTATTAGAAAGAGCTTTTCTACTCTTCTTATGTTAATTCAGTAATATTGTGTGGATGTGATTATATAGAATTACTCATTAATAATGTTGGTGTACTATCTTCATATCATGTGAAATATTTTAAATCTTTACATGTTTCGTCCACATGTTGATCTCTACTGTATGCTTGGAGTTCAAACCAAATGTAGACACAGTTTCTCCAAACAGATACAAAGAATTTAATCAGCTGCATTGAATAAAAACAGAAGTAGTGTTTTGAAAAGTCTGCAAACATTAGTACTAAGGAAAGAAGTTTTAATTATGTAGGTCAAATCTGAATTTTCATCTCTTCCAGTAGATAACAGTATCAATGCTGATAAATATGAATGTTCCCCGTGATGGTGGTAAATAGAGGAAGTAGTTTTTGTACGACTCTCCTGCTCTTGCCTCTCACTGTGGGTCTCTGGCACAGTAATACACTGCAGTGTCTGCAGTCTGCAGACTGTTCATCTGAAGATAGAGTTTACTGCTGGAGTCATCTCTGGAGATGGTGAATCTGCCCCGGACTGACGAGGAGTAAGAGATTGGTGTACTGGATGTGCTTATATAAGCAATCCACTCCAGTCCTTTTCCAGGAGCCTGTCTGACCCAGTTCATATCATAGCTGCTGAATGTGAATCCAGAGGCTGAACAGGTCAGTCTGTGGGATTCTCCAGGCCTTTTAACCACTGCTTCAGATTCTGTCAGAGTCTGAGCTTTAACACCTGTAAAGACATTTAAAAAAGTCAATTGAACATAGTTGGCACACAACAAGAGAAAACTAAGACTTTGATGATCATCACCTGCCCAGCAGACAGTAAAAAGCAGCAGTCCTGTCCTATAGTCCATCATGTTCAACTGTGTGTCCACTGTTCTCTGTCGTCCTCTCTGCACTCACATAAGTAGAGGAGGAACACATCAGAGTTTTGCATTGACTCCTCCTCACATGGACTGAATTATCTTGGGTCTCAGTTTTTGTCTGTTTGAACTGGAAATTAAATGTTAGATGGCTTTTCCCCTTTGAGTCTGATTTGCATGATCTGAATTAAAGTGTGCATGAGGTTGAAAAAGTCAGTATTATTGTTCTAACAGGAAAGATGATCTATATTCAGTGGGGATTCAAGAGTCTGTTGGGGCCCTATAGGTAAATATTTATTGTTGGGCCCTCCAACCAGCGTTCATCACCATCATGTCTGCCAGTGTCCCGACGCTTACTCCTCTTCCTTTTTCCTGTTTGTTTTTTTTCTCTCCTATATAAAGATATTTCTTTCATTGACAAACTCTGGTTTTCACATCAATAATACATGCAACGTTTAGCAGGGCAACAAGAGTGAGTGCCTTCAGATTGGTCACCCCTACAGTCATTGCAAAATGTGTACATAACAGCACAGACAAAGGTTTGTCTTTACTCCTTCCCACAGGACATTTTGGTCCATATTTTTCTTTTTATTAAATCAGATAATCAAAGTGACCTTTAATATACCAAATTTAAAACATACCAGTATTTGCATCCAAATCATTTTGACACAAAATATTGACATGATGTTTTTTTTACTTCAACTTATTTCACCTCTTTTTTTTAGGTTTATTTTTCACCTTCATTTAAGATACAGGTCAGTGGATAGAGCCACAAATTGAGGGGAGAGAGAGAGAGGGCAATGACAAGTGGGAAAGGGGCCAAAGGCCGGACTCGAACTCAGGCCTTCTGCTTGGAGGCACACCTATTTACACAGAACAACAGCATGCAGACAACAACATAACCAACCTAAGACAAAAGAAACCCGGAAAAAATACACCCAGTATGACCACGGTCGTAACATTATTCAGAAGAAAATGTGTTTTCAAAACTCTGACATGCTTCAGTTCTTCCAGGTCAACGATCAGTGTTTTTCAGTTTTTGTACAGCTCTGTCGTCAGCTGTGTAACTGTGGCTCTCGTGCACAGAAATAAACAGCAGAGTCTTCTTGTTTAAGACTCTTCACCTCTAAGTACACAACATTGTTCGATGTGTCCTTTGTGATGGAAAACTGGCCTTGGAGATTTTGGGCAAATATCGTGCCAGTTCCGCTATCAATGCGTCCGATCCATTCCAGTCCTTTCCCCGTTTTCTGACGAATCCAGTGCAGCCAAGAAAGAGCAAGTCCATTGACATTACAGTGCAGAGTGGCTGGTTCTCCTGCCCTGCTGACCACTGGCTCTGAGGAGGTGAGGGACTGGCCTTGAGCAGCTGAAAGAGACGCAGAGATTTAGATGACAGGGAGCTAGCAGACATCTAAAGCTCACTTTCCTCTTCTCTGAATAACTGTACTCACCTCCAATGAGAGCAACAAGGAGGAAACTTTGTGCAACTATCATTGTGGGAGCTTTGCTGAGTCTGCAACTGTGAAGGATATATATATATATATTGTTGGCAGGATGGGTGGAGCAGGGGCGTCAGTATGCACATTTGCATTTTGCCAGTCAGAGATGATGCAGTTTGACAAATCAAACTCTCAGAGATCAAAGACTTAAAAGAGACGTTAAGTGTTTCGCTTGATTTGAGTATTTTTGGCAGGATTTCGCATGTTTGCCTTTGAGTGTTGGGGTAAGAAAAGGTGAGATGGTGTACTACAACTAAATGAATACATAAAGCTGTATTTATTAACTTATAATAGAGTCAGTAAAAGGAAGATCTTGTCTGTCCTGGGTTTCTTTCAGTTAAGATCAACTCAACAAGTGAATCTTTGTGTCCTTTAGGAACAGAATATCTTGACGCTGACTGCCACCTAGTGGTAGTAGAACAAGTTGCAGTAAAATTGTGCATTTTAGTTTTCCCACAAAGTGACTTATTTTTGATCAAAAATAATATACAAATGAATACGTTTAAAGTCTTTACATGTTGTGTTTATTTAATTCATGTCAGGGCAATGACTTAAAATGGTTTTGCTCACTCTTGCTGATATCTGAGGAAGTGATTGATATAATAAGTTGGATTTTTTTGTCAAATGATTAATGGATGTTGTTGTTCATTGAGATTGTTTTTCAGGGCCAATTTATTATGCATTAACTGAGAATATAATTTTATTGTAGGATCTCTCGGTCAAGTCAAAACAAGCTGCTGTCTGCTGTTGTCTTTGGAGACGGTGAACCGGCCTTTAACTGACGTAGAGTAGTAGATATAGCTACTGCCATCATTACTGATAGTAACTAAGAACTCATGTCTATCAGGATGTTGCTCCCCATGATGTTCTTCAGATTATATCTTTCACCAAGCTTTTCTAAAAGTGTTTCTCTACATTACTGAGTTGCTTATTGAAAACATAATTTATGAAAGTTTGAATGACAAAAATCGGATATAGGACATTAAAGTTTTCTGGTTCAGTTATGAGTTGTTTTGTTTAAAAATCAGAAGAGTAATTCCATGATTCTCATTAGTGGTCTGAGGGCTCCTCCTCTGGTTGCATGTGTCCACTGCGAGATAAACTGTGTGTTTACATTAGTGATGCTCTGTTGTAGTCATTAAGGTCTTGTTTCCAACATGTTTAGTTTCTCATGTTGAGATGTCAGTAATATCTTCACGTTATTCTTGGTGCATCTTCTCTGTTCTGCTGCAAATCCAGAAACAGAACCACAGAGTTATTGCTTCTGGAGATAAACATCTTTTAGGGTTAATCCGATAAACTGCACATGTATTGTTTGAGTTAAAATTATTTTATTCTAGATCAAAACATTTGTATGTATGCAATCATTTGCTACATCAATTAGAATCAGAAATACTCTATTAATCCCTGGGGAAATATTTAGACATCACAGTTAGTCTTATACACAATATAGCAGTATAGCAAATATTGGAATTATACAGCAGCCATGGGCTTGAATCCAACCTTTGCCCTTTGCTGCATGTCATCCCCCACTCTCTCAACCCAAAGCATTTTAAGAGAAATGGAATAACCAGTCAGTCAACTGAGATCATGTAATGTTTATCTCAATCATTATGGCAAACAAGTGACACCAGAGTTCAGGTTTGAAGGGATTATTTTAAAAAGGGGAACTTGTTTTTGTACGACTCTCCTGTTATTGTCTCTCACTGTTGTTCTCTGGCACAGTAATACACAGCAGTGTCTTCAGGCTGCATATTCTGTCCTGTTAGAGTCACTGTTCTAACAGACGTGTCTCTGCTGGAGCTGAACTTGTTCTTCAGGGCATTATTTTGGTAAAAAGATCCACCCCACCTATGACAGATCCAGTCCATCGGTTTCCCTTCACGCTGTCTGATCCAACCTGTTGCATAGCTGTTATCAGTCAGAGAGTAACCAGAGACCTGACAGGTGAGGGTCAGAGACTGTCCAGGCTGCACAACCATTGAGCCTGGTGTGATGAGATCAATACAGTGCACACCTGTGGAAACACAAATCATCATTATCTCCATCACTCATCTGATTATTCTTTGTGTCTGATGTGATCATTAATTAAAAAGCTTCCTACATGATCCCAGTGACCAGCAGTAGAATCAGAGCTACAGAGAACATTTTTTCACTTGAAGTGATCTGATGGAGCTTCTGTTCTTCTCTGACTCACAGCCTGATGTCGAGTCTTTATATCAGACTGTGAGGAAGTTTGCTTTCCATATAAGGACACAGGGAGGCTATGAAAGAAGGTTCACCTATGTAGTGCTCAGGAAGTGAACTGGCACCTCTCAAGCTACCAGACCAATTTCAGACATGACCTTAACCTGTGACCCTCAGAATCCCAGCCCAAGTCTCCACAATCTGAGATACTGCCCCCCCACCCCCCTTACTTTATTACTATAATTGATCAAATTATGTAATTTGTGTTTGAGATCCCAGAAATGTATTATAAATAAACTTTGTTATATTTCTTTCACTTTTATTTTTAAGCAATATAACTACATGAATCTATAAATGAGTATTTTTTGCTCTTCAACAGTGAACTGGTGTTAAGATCATTATTGGTGTGATGGCTCCTCCTCTGGTGGCTTCATGTTACTGGTGTTCAGGCTCTGAGGGGTTTTTGTTCAGCTCTACTGATGGGTTGTGTCACTGTGGCTCTCTGGCACAGTAATACACTGCAGTGTCTTCAGTCTTCAGACTGTTCATCTGCAGATACAGCTGCTGTCTGCTGTCGTCTCTGGAGATGGTGAACCGGCTTTTGACTGAATTAGAGTAGTCGATGCTACCACTACCACTACTAATAAAAAGCGATCCACTCCAGTCCTTTTCCAGGAGCCTGTCTGACCCAAGCCATCCAGGAGCTGCTGAATGTGAATCCAGAGGCTGAACAGGTCAGTCTGTGGGATTCTCCAGGCCTTTTAACCACTGCTTCAGATTCTGTCAGAGTCTGAGCATCAACACCTGAAGAGACAGAAAAGAAAACCATCAGATGTGACACTTTCAGAAGACTTTTTAGAGTAAAGATGAGTGATGATCATCACCTGCCCAGCAGACAGTAAAAAGCAGCAGTCCTGTCCTATAGTCCATCATGTTCAACTGTGTGTCCACTGTTCTCTGTCGTCCTCTCTGCTCTCACATAAGTAGAGGAGGAACACATCAGAGTTTTGCATTGACTCCTCCTCAAGGAAAGAAAATGAGGAAAGGTTAAAGATTTAACTTTTGGTTGTGTAGTTTAGACATGCTTTATCATTTGTGTTCATCATGTTTCCTCTGTGTTCACTGCAGGGGTGTTTTGGCAATACAAAAAACTTAATTTAGAATCATTTACATTTCCTGAGTCCCTGGAACATAACTGGAATCTTATTTTATTTGTATGAAAAGCACTAAATTTCATAAATCTAGTGGCCAAAGTCGGTTTCGTACCCACTGTCGCTACATTGAGTACTATAGTGGCTGTACAGGGGGGCAATCGAAATAATGGCTGAGCTATCCAATGCCCTAATGATTTAATCAGTATTATTAGAAACAGATTTAACTTTTTACATAACCAACAAATATTCTGTGAAATGTAAAACACCTTTATTACATTGTTTTTCTTAAAGGGCCGGGGGATTCAAATCTGTAAAATGTTAAATAAGTAAGGAACAAAAATATGATGATTTGTGCATTATAAAGAATATATGGACGGAAAACTTGGAACAGATATTCAAGATTTGATTTTAGAAAGTTGTGCTGAGACCGCTGAATGTTGCCAGTGATGTTGGCAAAAAGAGGAAGTAGTTTTTGTACGACAATCCTTTTATTGTCTCTCACTGTGGGTCTCTGGCACAGTAATACACTGCAGTGTCTGCAGGCTGCATATTCTGTCTGTTCAGAGTCACTGTGTTGCTGGAAGAATCAAAACTGAACTGGTTCTTCAGGGAATTTTTATAGCTTGTGGTGCATCCAGAACATCCGCTTAGTATCCACTCCAGTCCTTTCCCTGCAGGCTGTCTGATCCAGGCTGTAGCATAGCTGCTAACAGAATAAGAGACCTGACAGGTGATGGTCAGACTCTGACCTGGCTGCACAGTCACAGAGGCTGGCTGTGTCAACTGTTCACACTTCACACCTGTGGAAAAACATGTTGAAGATGATCAATGTTTAGAATGTGCAGTAAACTGTCAGTGCTGTTGACAGATGCAGACAGACTCACATCCAGCTGCCAGCAGCTACAGGCAACATGGTTGGTGTTGAACCTGACATGATGGAGCTTCTCTTCTTCTCTGACTCACAGCCTGATGATGAATCTTTATATCAGACTGTGAGGAAGTTCAATTTGCATAGAGACAGACTTGGCTCGACTCCTAGCAAGCAAATGTATTTCTCATCGTCCTCTTCATATTCTGTTTATGGGATGGAAGGGTGATTTTTTTGATTGTCTAAATTATTTTGTCTGGTTCTGGGATAGTTAGTGTTCACCTTTTATGGTTTTGTTGACATTTTAGATAATAAATGTATCTGTTTATTTATCCTTATTTGACACAGGAATGTTTATTATAAATATCTACCAATCATGATTTGATCGTTGATGTTTACCTGTTGTCATGGTGATGTTAATCTGTGTTTAAATAACTTAGCCAAATAAAAGGGTAGAACAATGAGATAGGCAGTGTTGTTGTGGAATCACCAAATCTGGAGTATGAGTCAAAGAAACAGAGTCACGTCAGAGTCATGACCTCGTTAACTGAGTTACTTTTCTGGATGAATCCTTGATAGATGTCTGCACAATTTGTGGTTCCTTTTTCGGCATCCTTACAGAGACAATATTCACATGCAGGTGAACTCTCGTGCCAGCACATGCTTGAAAGTGAATACATTTTAGGACCAAAATAATCAAAAGTCTTTTTCAATCAATAAATATGAGCCATTTTCTCAAATTCCAAGTCTGAATGGAGTCAATGCTGAAGTCTGAATCACCAGTGCTTGTTTTCAAGTCGAGTCACAGTCCAGGACGTGATACTGAAACAATGGAGATTGGATTTTTTGAGACATTTTGATAAATCTTTTTTTCAATGTATTTAATGTCACAAAGTAGTTTTACTGTCAGCTAAATTCTGACGAGAGAGAAACACAACTTCAGACGTCACCAGCTTCAATGAAGTGACAGCCTGCAGGTCACAAAGCTTTTTATTATTGTCTCTATGATTTAAAACCAACAGTTAGGCTGAACCCACCGAATCAACTGCTGCTGAATGTTTCCTTCTTGTGATTGAGCTTTAAGAGACTTTGTCACAATGCTCTGCCATTATATGTTTGATCTTTTATCGCCCTCTGTTGGCCTTTGTAAAAATGCATTTCGTCAGGTTTTATTTTTCTTCTGGCCTCTTTTATCAGTGGGTAAATCTCACACAGTAATACACAGCAGTCTATTTGACCTTTTGGTTGCATCACTGCTTAAAGCCCCAACATGATCTTTTCTGCAGGTCGTCTAAACATACTCATTCTGCAGCAGAGTTACTCTGACCCACCCCTCCCTATACGCATAACACTCTCTGTGAGTGGTGCCTCATCATTTATGGTGTGCTTCGGGTTTGCACAAGTTTTTCTTTCTTTTTTAACAGGTTGGTGTCTTTGGTAATTATTACTAGGATGAAATCATTGTTGTGTAAACATGGCCTATTATCACCATTTTGTTTTAAGTGTGTGTGCAGAAAATGAAAATCCTCACAGCGCAGGTATTCAAAATGTCTCTTTCTCCAAAGCAACACAAGATCCAGTCCATCGGTTTCCTTCACTCAGTCCGATCAAACTGGAAACATAAGACCAGCGGTATCCTGTCCAGGCTGCACGACCACTGAGTCTTGCTGGATGAGATCAATACAGATCTCACGTGTGGAAACACTAACCAACATGATCTCCATTAATTCAGTTACTAATTTTGTCATTCTGATGTGTTTTTAATAGTTTAAAATCTCCTCTCAGCATGCTGCTGTGAACATCAGTATCAGAGCTACAGTACAGAGAACATGAATGATGATGAAGCTGAACTAAACTTGTGTCCTCTGACACACAAATACTCAAACACACACTGTGAGGAAACACAGAGGCCACCTAATCAACATACTCATGACAGAAGATCAGCTTATACCAAAGAGTCATTCAATGATTCAAAACTAGGATGAATCGTAAAGATGTTTCCCTTCATTAAAACTTCAGTTTTGCCACACATCATTTCAATAGGTGTTAAAATCGCTCTTTTTAACAATTAAGGAGAGACAGACACATTCAGTCAACCAATCAATCATTATGTGAATAGCATCAATTCATTACAATTGTTATCTCAAGATGCTTTACAAAAGAGCATATGGGATGATATGCAGGAAGGATTTCTCCTTTGTATTCCTCGTGTTCCTGTTGTCCACACTTCCTTGCCGCTGAGGTGGAGGTCGGAGCAGACTGAGCATGAATGTGAACGGCGGTGGTTGTCGGGTCGACACAGTCGGATGGTGGAGGCTGGGCGTCAGGCTGTGGTTGTGGGGACGACACATGCCCTTAGTTAAAAGTTACAAGGACAAGCTGCTTCAAACAAGAAGATTCACGTTAACAGTCAGATCCACTAAATATGAGATTTTATCAGTTTTCTTTAACAACATGTGGCAGAATAGCAGAGATGCACAAGAACTGAAACTTTAATTTTTTTTACATCAAACTGAAGTTTATTCTATAAATGAAACACAGAGAGTGTACTTTTTGTTAAGTTTTTGTACAGCGATACTTCCTCCTGTGTCACTGTGGGTCTCTGGCACAATAATAAACAGCAGAATCTTCAGTCTTCAGACTGTTCATCTGCAGATACACCTGCTGTCTGCTGTTGTCTCTGGAGATGGTGAACCGGCTTTTAACTGACTGAGAGTAGAATTTTCTGTCATTATCATTCTCAACCCAGGAGATCCACTCCAGTCCTTTTCCTGCAGCCTGTTTGACCCAGCTCATATGGTAGCTGCTGAATGTGAATCCAGAGGCTGAACAGGTCAGTCTGTGGGATTCTCCAGGCCTTTTAACCACTGCTTCAGATTCTGTCAGAGTCTGAGCTTTAACACCTGTAAAGACATTTAAAAAAGTCAATTGAACATATTTGGCAAACAACAAGAGAAAACTAAGACTTTGATGATCATCACCTGCCCAGCAGACAGTAAAAAGCAGCAGTCCTGTCCTATAGTCCATCATGTTCAACTGTGTGTCCACTGTTCTCTGTCGTCCTCTCTGCACTCACATAAGTAGAGGAGGAACACATCAGAGTTTTGCATCGACTCCTCCTCAGTGAGATAAGAAAATAATTTAATTTGGATATCACCTCTTTACTTATGGACTTAAATTTTCAACGCAACTGGCCTTTTTATTTGCTAATCTTTTCTTTTTTTCGGTATCTCAATTCAGGCAGCCAATCAGTAAGAACACAAAGCAGAATAACACACAGCTCCACTTTTTGACAGTTATTGAACATACAGTAACATCTGTGATCACATGTACCAAAAATATTCACATCTAACAGGAAGTTAATCCCCATCATGTTTTGTGATGATGTCTTCTATTCAAAACGTGAGGATTTTGTCACATGGGCTCAGGGTATCAGAGAACAAAAGAGCAACAGAAAGGATGTTAATCTTCAGAAGTTTTATTTATTCTATTTAATACAATTATTTAAACCAACCTACTGTCTTTCTGATATTAACTGTTTACTGTCAGCAAATCCAACATACCACTGGGTAATATTCTGTTTATTCAAATGTTAAACACTGGTTTGTTTAAAAAAAACAGATTAAAAGTTTTCAGTGTTTACAGACTGTTCATCGAAATATTAACAGAGCTGCAGTCGGTGCTCATGATTAACACCAAGTCACACTTCAGTTTCAAAGAATCACTCAATCAAGCAACTTATGTTGAAGAAGGGAAACTTTCAAATACAAATTTAATTCTATTGAGCAGCAAGAGTGTTTAGCTTTAGTCAATCTGATAGTAATGTTGGTGTACTATCTTCATATCATGTGGAATATTTTAAATCTTTATATGTTTCGACCATGTGTTGATCTCTACTGTATGCTTGGAGTTCAAACCAAATGTAGACACAGTTAGGGAACGTACACTAAAATCTGTGATCACATGTACCAAAAATATTCACATCTAACAGGAAGTTAATCCCCATCATGTTCTTTGATGGTGTCTTCTGTTCTCAACATTCATGGAGGATTTTGTCACATGGGCTCAGGGTATCAGAGAACAACAGTGGTATTAAAATCTCATTTTCTAAAAGTTTGATTGAATAAGATCTCCTTAGAGGAAGCTAAAGACCTCTGGTTCAGTTACTAATGTGAATGTGATCCTGATAATTCTGAGTTATTCTGTTGAAAACAAAGGTATTTTCATAATGTCTTACAGCTGTTTTTCTCCTTACTGTAAAAGTGAACTGGTGTTTAAAATGTATAAATATAATTATAATACATTTAATTTATTTGTTTTACAGAGTCGCATTTAAAGAAAAACACTTTTAAACAATGGTACAAAAAGAAACATTAGCAATCTAAAGCAGTGTTTATAATGTTTCTATCAGTGATTTGAATTGTGGCAGGTCCGTAAAGTCTCAGGTGTGTTTGGGGAGAGAGATCCAGAGGGAGAGGGGCAGCAATGGAAAAGGCTCTGTTCCCCTGGTTCAGTGCTTGGTGTTAATCATTATTGGTGTGAGGGCTCCTCCTCTGGTGGCTTCATGTTACTGGTGTTCAGGCTCTGAGGGGTTTTTGTTCAGCTCTCCTGATGTGGCTCTCTGGCACAGTAATACACTGCAGTGTCTTCAGTCTTCAGACTGTTCATCTGCAGATACAGCTGCTGTCTGCTGTTGTCTCTGGAGATGGTGAACCGGCTTTTGACTGAATTAGAGTAGGATTGGCTACCACCACTGCTACTAATTTCAGCAATCCACTCCAGTCCTTTTCCAGGAGCCTGTCTGACCCAGTTCATATAGTAGCTGCTGAATGTGAATCCAGAGGCTGAACAGGTCAGTCTGTGGGATTCTCCAGGCCTTTTAACCACTGCTTCAGATTCTGTCAGAGTCTGACCATCAACACCTGAAGAGACAGAAAAGAAAACCATCAGATGTGACACTTTCAGAACACTTTTTAGAGTAAAGATGAGTGATGATCATCACCTGCCCAGCAGACAGTAAAAAGCAGCAGTCCTGTCCTATAGTCCATCATGTTCAACTGTGTGTCCACTGTTCTCTGTCGTCCTCTCTGCACTCACATAAGTAGAGGAGGAACACATCAGAGATTTACATTGACTCCTCCTCAGAGAGAAATAACATTTGACTTCTGTCTTGGATACTTTAAGTTGAAAGGTCATCAGTTGTATCATGCCAGTAGAGTGAAAGCAGAGATTAACTTGAAATAGGAAAAGTTTTTTTATTTTTTTTATAGGTATACAATGATGCAGGAGTCGGAACAGCTGCAAATATATTTGATTAAGTCATTGAGATTTGCTCGTATCCAGGAGGAATCCTAATCAGATGCCCAAACCATCTCAACTGACTCCCTTCGATGCAAAGGAGTAGCAGCTGTACACCAAACTCCAATGTCTGAGCTCCTCACCCTATCTCTAAGGCTGAGCCCAGCCGCCCCCCGGAGGAAACTCATTTAGGCCTTTTGTAACCACAATCTGATTTTTCCGGTCACTACCCTTAGCTCATGACCATAGGTGAGGGTTGGAATGATGATCAACCGGTAAATCTAGAGCTTTGCATTGCATTATTGTACTTGTAGTATATTGTATCTCAAAGTAAACTTTGTTCTTTTGCTTTGACTTTTACATCTCTACATGTGTATTTTTCTCTCCTCATTATTTAACTGGTGTTTTAATCCTTACTGGTCTGGGGGCTCCTCCTCTGGTCGCTTCATGATTTTATTTCAGACTTTATCGGGTTTGTAATTACGTCATGTAAAAAAATATTCTTGTCATGTTTTGACAGTTTAGGTTTCTGTACTGCGTTGCTTCCTCTTGTGTCACTGTGGCTCTCGAGCACAATAATAAACAGCAGAATCTTCCATCGTCAGACTGTTCATCTGCAGAAACACCTGCTGTCTGCTGTTGTCTCTGGAGATGGTGAACCGGCCTTTGACTGAATTAGAGTAGTAGATGCTACCACCACTACTAATATAAGCGACCCACTCCAGTCCTTTCCCAGCAGCCTGTCTGATCCAAGCGTTATGAGGATGACTAGAAAACCCTGAATATGTGCAGGTCAGTGTGTGAGATTCTCCAGGCCTTTTAACCACAGCGTCAGACTCAGTCAGTGTTTGACCCTCAGTACCTGCAGACATTTAAACAGCTTGTTAGATACTGTAATGCACCAACAAGTTTGTCTGAAGAAATAGTCACCATTCTTACCTGTCCAGTTTAGTGACAGGATGAGAAATAGAACCAAACACTCAGGTTCTGTCATTGTGAAAGCTTTCGTCTTTGTCAAGTCTACAGAGTGTGTTTGTGCTTCAATCTGCAACACTTATGTAGTGATGGAAGACATCAGAGATTTACATTGACTCCTCCTAATCAGAGAGAAGGTCACTAAATGTTCTATGATATAATATGATTTATTCACACAAAAATAATGATGTATGCAAACCTAAAATAATTGGTCCCTTTGTTTTGCATACATTTAGATGGATTCAAAAAATGCCTTTCTAGGGAATGTCTCATACTACCAAAAGGATTATGAATCTTTTTTTTACATCAGTTCCTCATTGTATAGCCATGTACACTTTAATATAGACTATTTGTGTCATTGAACTGCTGTTATGATCATTATTGCTGTGAGGGCTCCTCCTCTGGTGGCTTCATGTTACTGGTGTTCAGGCTCTGAGAGGTTTTTGTTCAGCTCTACTGATGGATTGTGTCACTGTGGCTCTCTGGCAGAGTAATTCACTGGAGTGTCTGCAGGCTGCATAGTCAGTCCGTTTAGGGTCACCCTGTTGTTAGAGGCGTCTAAGTCGATACTGAACTGGTTCTTCAGTGAATCTTTGTAAAAAGCAGCTCCAGTGTATCTCATTCCAATCCACTCCAGTCCTTTCCCTGCAGGCTGTCTGATCCAGGCTGTGTAGTAGCCACTAACAGAATAAGAGACCTGACAGGTGATGGTCAGACTCTGACCTGGCTGCACAGTCACAGAGGCTGGCTGTGTCAACTCTTCACACTTCACACCTGTTAAAAAGAGAACATGTTTAGTTAGAAATGATCAAGTTAAACTGCAGAAGAAGAACTGTTGACTTTGACAGATGCAGACAGACTCACATCCAGCTGCCAGCAGCAGCAGCAGAGCTACAGAAAACATGGTTGATGTTGAAAGTGACGTGCTGTGAACTCCACTGACGGCCTGATGGGAAGTTTTTATAGCTGAGTAACAAGGAAGCTCACTGAGTTTGCATACAATCAAACATATGAAGCATCAATGATGGTCTGACTGGAGCCAATAGGAGAGTATGTTCACTGTTTTTATTTCTGCAGAGTGAAAAGATGACTGGAAATCATCTCTGCTTTACATATGATAACAGATATAATATATGTGATCATACTGTAGGATCAGATTGGTTGAAAGTGTTTACTAATAACTGGTTTCATTCATTTTAGGATTAATCTTATCAAAGAGAGCAGCAACAATCAATAAAAAGGGATGATAAGGAAATGCTATTAGAAAGAGCTTTTCTACACTTCTTATGTTAATCCATATTGTGTGTATGTGATTATATAGAATTACTCATTAATAATGTTGGTGTACTATCTTCATATCATGTGGAATATTTTAAATCTTTACATGTTTTGTCCACATGTTGATCTCTACTGTATGCTTGGAGTTCAAACCAAATGTAGACACAGTTTCTCCAAACAGATGCAAAGAATTTAATCAGCTGCATTGAATAAAAACAGAAGTAGTGTTTTGCAAAGTCTGCAAACATTAGTACCAAGGAAAGAAGTTTTAATTATGTAGGTCAAATCTGAATTTTCATCTCCTCCAGTAGATAACAGTATCAATGCTGACAAATATGAATGTTCCCCGTGATGGTGGAAAATAGAGGAAGTAGTTTTTGTACGACTCTCCTGTTCTTGTCTCTCACTGTGGGTCTCTGGCACAGTAATACACTGCAGTGTCTGCAGTCTGCAGACTGTTCAGCTGAAGATAGAGTTTACTGTTGGAGTCATCTCTGGAGATGGTGAATCTGCCCCGGACTGACGAGGAGTAAGAGATTGGTGTACTGGATGTGCTTATATAAGCAATCCACTCCAGTCCTTTTCCAGGAGCCTGTCTGACCCAGCTCATAGCGAAGCTACTGAATGTGAATCCAGAGGCTGAACAGGTCAGTCTGTGGGATTCTCCAGGCCTTTTAACCACTGCTTCAGATTCTGTCAGAGTCTGAGCTTTAACACCTGTAAAGACATTTAAAAAAGTCAATTGAACATAGTTGGCACACATTAAGAGAAAACTAAGACTTTGATGATCATCACCTGCCCAGCAGACAGT